TATTAAAAAGCTTGAGCCAACCGGTATGGCCTCCCCGCTGCCCAATAAGGGAACTTTCTAATAAATACCTATCTTCGCTGCAGTGTCAGAATTTTAATAGTGCTTCGTGAATACATGGGAAAGACATAAGTATTTTAACTAAAACCTCAAAATCAAACCTTCTGACTAAAAAGAGACATATGGGTTTATAAACAGTAAATTAAATTCTCCCTTCAATGTACTCTCCAGAAGAGATATAAGTAGCCTCTGTGGATCTCAGCTAAAGAGTCACCAAAGCCTGCTTCACTGCCAGAAAGAAAGCAACATTCTCTGGCCCCACCTGGCATCCTTTAACAGGAAGAGACCTAAGAACAGAGTAAGTCCAGGATTTAAGCATCAAAGACCTCCCTATAAGAACAAACAGAGGACCCAGTTTCTTCAGCCTATAAAAACTAGATGTATTATCCTGCCCTACATTTTATTAGAGCTATTGTGAGACTTTATAGGAAAAGTAGTTGTGTGATTATAACACACAAATTATAGAGAACACACAAATTGATTAGATATGTTGAATCTGATTTTTACTCGTAGCTTTAAGAGCAAGTCAGTGCTGAATGTGGTGGTGATACACACCTGTAATCTCAGTACTCAGGAGGCTGAGGCAAAGGGATCATCCCCAATTTGAGGCCAGCCTGGCCTACACAGTGAGTTTAAACCCAGACTGAATTACACAGTGAGTAGTTCAAAAAACTAGTGGCTCAAAAAACAAGTAAAGTTCCTGTTTTCTAGGAATATGGAGGGGTTACAGAGGCTGCACAGAAAGTTTGTCACCAAAATGTGGCAGAGCCTATGAGCTACCTCTTTGTCAAAATAAGTCCCTGGGTCATAAACGAAGTCTCAGACAAATCTAAGGAAACAATCAAACAGAACAATAATGCTAAGACACTCACATTCCCACAAACGATGGTCATTCACAGAGGATTTTTCCCCTCTCTTATCTAAGAATTTCCTCCCTAGACTCGCTATTATTATGCAACAGAAAATAATTTCTGATATGAAAGAAAGAAAAGGTAAAACAGAGGCTTTGATGGTATAGTCATAACCAGACCTCTGAAACACATTGTGTGGATAGTTCCAAAAGCTCCGGTCATAAGGTGGTTCTGAGAGATACTAGAATGCCTCAGGAGGACAAAACCACACACACACACACACACACACACACACACACACACAAATCCAAGGAGAGGTAGCTAATGCCTAAAGTTCCAAACCTTATCCCTTTACCTTGAGTCTAAAATATACATTATCTGTCAAAAATACTCATTTCACCAGGCATAGTAGCACATGTCTATAATTCTAGCACTCAGGAGACTGAGGCAGAAGAATCACTGAGTTTGAGGTCATCTTGGGCTATGTAATGAGTTCAAGGCCAGCTGGAATGCACAGCAAGACTCTGTCTCAAACACCCCCACAAAAAAATACTCATTTCACATCAAGCACTTATATTTTTAAGCTGGGATAAGGAGGGAAGATATTATCAATTTTAAACAGGGATATCATCGGGATATCAGAGATGCTCCATTAGGTCTACTTTACAGCTCAACCAGACTTTCCTCTCACAGCCCAATCAAAGCCAACCTTTTTTTAATTTTTATTTTTATTAGTACATTTGCAGTACATAATTACTATATTCAGCATCGTAAGTTGGTACATGTATATAACACGTTAATTCTTTTTACATCCCCAGGGTCCCGGGAAATTTTCTGTAGACAATCAGAATTAATTTGCAAGAAAGACCTGTCATTTTCATTTTGGGGTAAGAGGCACTGGAAATTCTACCCAGGATCTTTACACTAAGCTATATCCCTATTGTTTTTTGCTTTGGGGAGTTTTTTGTTGTTGTTGACAAGGTCTCACTATGTAGTGTAGGCTGGCCTTGAACTCACTTATGTAACTCAAGCTAGCCTCAAATTCACAGTGATTCTCCTGCCTCAGCCTCCCCACTGCTAGGGTAATAGGCATGTGCCACCACTCCAGGCTCCCTACTCTATTTTTCATTTTTTTATTTTGAGATAAGGTTTTACTAAGTCAGTAATTTAATCAGGCTAGACTCAGAATAATCCTGCCTCAGCCTCCCAGAGTAGGTTGTGCCATTACACCAGACTAAGAAGAATCTATCTTTAAAGCAAAAGCCAGGGTATCATGCTAATACAAAAGGCAATACCAGCTTCATTAGGAAACCAGCTCAAAAGTGCATCTGAGCCGGGCCTGGTGGCTCACGCCTGTAATCCCAGCACTCAGAAGGCTGAGGCAGGAGGATTGTTGCAAGTTCGAGACCAGCCTGGGCTACAAAGTGAGCTCAAGGCCAGCCTGAGCTGCATAGAGAGACCCTGTCTCAAAAAGACAAAAAAAAAAAAGTGTATCTGAAATCATGCCCAGCCCATGAAGGAAGGGAGTTGGCCCAAGAACAGATATACCACTAATGCCAGCCACTGGCCAAGCCGCCATGATCTTTTCCTTTTCCCATTTGTGTCAGTAAATTCAATGAACCATCCCTTCACATGAGCATATCCATCCTCAAAACAAGTTAACTAATAAACCCTCTCTCTTCTTCAGACCACAGTTTTGGATAGATCAAAATGACAGGGTGAGGCGGAGCATAATGGCCCATGCCTGTAATCCCAGCACTGGAGGGGCTGGGGCAGAAGAATCAACATGAATTGGAGGTCAGCCTGGGCTACAAAGCGAGTTCAAGACCAGCCTGAACTGCACAGTGAAACCCTGTGTCCAAAAAGAAAAAAGAAAGAAAGAAAAAGACAGACAGAGTGAGGAAAAATGGGAAAAGAAAACTGATCTCCTAAACTTTATGTAAAAAAAGGTGTTCCTTTCTACTTCAATAATACACTAGGACTACAGCTCCCTGACAAGGCACCACAAATGCATAGGAAAAATCAGGAGAGAGTAAAAAAAAAAAAAAAAAAAAAAATACACATACATATACATATATAACATGGAATCCCTACTATCATCAGTCAAGAAATAGAGACAACAAGTAGTCCCAGGAATTATATTATGCCAATCTCGAGAAAAGGCCATTTAGCTCCCTAGTGGCAAATAAGAGACCTTCTACAAGTTTGCCTTCATATTTCAAATAGGCACAGTTAGGAGACAGCAAATTACCGAGGGGAAGGGAGGGACTATGGTTCTCACGGTAGTTGGAATAGAAAGGCACACCTGAACACCCAGCTATCCGGCAACAGAGCTGGCCCAGCCCTGATTTTCCCTGCCCAGCCCCTAAAGTGGCTTCAACCCCTTCTCTGCCGCCAAGCACAGAACTTGGCTAAAAGCAAGCCATTCTTTCAGAGAAGTCCTGAAATGAGGTCCTGCCTTGCTGATCTGAAAGGTCGAGGTGCCCCAACAAAATACATCCTAAAGAGGGATGAGGAAAGTTGTTCAGAGCTAGAAATAATAGCTGTGACTTGGGAAAAGAAAGAGAACTTGGACTACTGGGACTAAGCAGTACTATGTGTGGATACTCCACCAACCCCACACACACAAACCTAGATAGATTTGACCACTTCAGCTCACTCAGTTCTAAGTCAAAAGCCCCTCACCGATCCTGCCCCCAACAAGACCTTACCTGCTGCTGTGGACTCCTCCGACGTAGCTCCGGAGCCAGCTCCTGTCACCTTCTCACTATGACTGTGGCTGAGGCTCTGGCCCTGATGCAGAAGGAGCCCCCAGAGGAGCCACAAGGCAAGACGGGCACACACGTTCATGACTCTAGGTCTCAGTCAACATGCGCCTGAGATGGGCACCTTGGGATCCCAGAAGCAAAGCCGGGAGCCCGGGAGTCCAGCCGAAGGTCCCTAGGCAAGATGCCCTCTCGGTGCCGCAGCTGTCCAGCCACCTGCGGGCTACCTCCTCCTACAGCCAAAGGTCAAGTACTCCAAGTTTGGGCGCGGGAGGATCGCCAACCCCTCTGGTGCAACAGTGGGTCCTCCGGAGCCTGAGGTCTGGCTGCTTCCGGAGAGTTTGGGCAGGGTAGCTGCGGGGCCGCTGTCAGTTCCGCAGCCGGCTACACCCCTGCAGAAGGCGGGCAGGATCTCCCGCGGGCACAGAGGTGGGGGAGGGAACGAAGGGAGGAGAAGAGGAGGGCACCTGACCTCGCCCCGCCGAGGAGGAGGAGGAGGAGGAGGAGGAGGAGGAGGGCAAGCAGAAGCTCCGGGAGAGCTTGCGACTCGCAGGCCCCAGCGGGTCCCGGCGTCTCCGCGATCCTAACCCTCCAAGGCTGAGGCCAGCGCCCCCCGCTCAGTCTCGTGCCCAGGCGACCAGCGGTGCCCTGGTCCAGGAGGCGTTCGCTCGCGGGCCAGGCCCGGGACAGCCGGGGCGGGCCGGGGCGGGCCGGAGCGGGCGGGGCGCGCTCTCCCTCCCGCGGGCCCGCCCAGCGCCCGGCCCCCAGCGGAGCCCGGGCCCGCCCCAGCGCCCGCGCGGCCCCCGGAATGACCTGTTGGAGACTGCTGGTCAGGGCCCCCACCCCGGCGGGGTCTTCTGGCCCCCACGCTTGTCTTTGCCGGGACGCCGTCCCGCAGCGGGGACAGAGTGCCGGCCTCCCCTTTCCGGCAGATTCTCCCGCGGTAAGCGCCCGCCGCCGGCAGGCCCCTGACACGCAGTTGCTCAGGTAACCCAGGCTTGCGGCGACGACCACAGTAACAACGACGGCGGCCACCCCGCCCGAGTCTCCGGGCCGCAGTGCCGCTCCACCCTGCTCTGTTTTACTGTCAGGCTGGACGGAGACCCCAGCACCACCCCATCCGCCCCGCAGCCACCTCAGGTGGTAGCCGCCAGCCCAGGTTTGGCCTGGGGGCGCGAGCCCAGCCCCCTACTCCCCGACCTCCATAGCTCCGCCCTCCCGTCACGCCTCACAGCCAATCGGCTTCCGCCTCCCTGCGACTTGGGAATTAGCGCGCTCCTTCGCCCTGCACAGCGGTCCCTGGTGAGCAAACATAGGTACTGCAGACACCAGAGCTCCTGACAGGCCCTGCCCCTTTGCGGAGGGTTGGGGAGTGAAGAAGAGGCCCGCCCCGGAGGAGGCCCATTAGGGCTGAAAGTGTTTTCAGAGGAAATCATGCTGAAAAGTAAAATGAACTGTCCGGACCACTTTAGACTAAATTCTCCTACATACGTACTTTGAGACTAGGCTAAAAGAGTTCATCTGCCTTCTGACCCCATGCTCCCCACCCCTCTAACGTGTCGGATGCCCTTGCTTAGCTTTTACAGCCGGATTTGCTACCCACCCTTCGAGGCCCCATCCCTCCCCCACTCCTGGAGGTTTTTGCGGTAAGGGGCCATAGCTGGGTCCCTCTCTGCATCTAACTCTAGCAGCTCTCTGAGTCAGTTGTAGGAGGTGATAACGACGTGAGAATGCGCTCCCAAGTGAAGAGAGCCTCGCCTGAGCCTGCCTGCACTTCCTGTTCTCACGCATACAGTCATCAGCAACAATTTACTGAAACCTCCTCTGTGCCCTACCCTGTCCTTGGCACCAAAGGCAGGAGAAAGGATTAGGCCTGGTGGCTCCTCTGGCTGACAGTGCTAAACCAGCTCCTGTTCTGAGCAAGCTCTTTGAAGACCAGAATGCGGATTTGTCCAACAGCTGCTTGGCTTACGGGTTAGGCTGTTGCTACAAAAATATACCTCTAACGTCATCTACTACTGCTCTATTAATCTCCTATCAAACTGGCCTTTTTTCTCTCTTCCTCTCAGTGCTGGGGGTGGAACCCAGGACTTCAGGCAAGCTAGGCATGCACTGTTATACCTAACAGTGATCCTAACTAAGGTCCCCAAACATAACCAAACTTTTAGCAACCTTTGTATCTGCTGTTACTTGTGCCTCAAAAGCTCCTCCCTGCACCTGGCTGTTAATAGAACTAGCCTCTCCTTCCTCCACAGACAGTGTAATGTCTCCTTAGAAATCCCTACCCAGAAATGTATGGTAAGTATGGCCCCTCCTTAAATTTGTGATTGTGAGTTTTCAGAGTTCATTTGTCTCTATGACCCTTCACACAGAAAGTGCTCAGGGCAAGCTGACTGACAAGAGATAATTCATTGCTTTTGTTTGTTTTTTTGTTTTTCAGATAGGGTCTCATTGTATAGTGTAGGCTGGACTTGAACTCCGTTATGTATTGTAGGCTGGCTTTGAACTCACTACAGTCCTCTTGCCTCAGCTTCCCAAAGTGCTGGGAATTTGGGTTTTTTTGAGATGGTCTTGCTATGTAATTGTTGTTTTTTTTTTTTTTTTTTTTTTTTTTTTGGTACCGGATATTGAACTCATGACCTCAGGCTTGCCAGGCAGGAACCTATGCCATTGCGCTAAGTCCCCAGCCCCTTTTGCTATGTAATTCACTATGTAGTGCAGGTTGGCCTCAAACTTGCAGTGATTCGCCTGCCTCAGACTCTGAGAGACGACATTATAAGTGCTCACCACCATGCCCAGCTCAGAAATCTAGGCTTTTATGTAAAATATTACTTTTTTTTTTTTTTTTTTTTTTTTTTTGGTATTGGAAAATGAACCCAGAGCCATTGCACTGAGCTACATTCCACCATACTCCCTTTTCAAGACCATGTCCCACTAAGTTGCCCAGGCAGGATTCAGAATACTCCCAGTGACATATTCCTTTTTTACTATTGTGCAATTAACTTCTAATATAATATAATATAATATTTATTATATTTTTTATATTTAAAAGTATATGTGTAAAAATATACTTTAAAAATAACTTTAAAAGACTCAAATCAAGCATGGTAACGCATGCCTGTAATTCTATCTACCTAGGAGGCCGAGGCGAGCAGATGGCAAGTTTAAGGTCAGCCTGAGCAACACAGCAATAAAAAATTAAATTAAAATTTAAAGTATAAGCATACAACTCATGGCTGGCAATGTAGCTCAGTGGTAGAGCTCATGCTTTGCATCCACCAAGCCTTGGGTTTGGTCCCCAGTACCACACAAATAAATAAAATATAAAACCTTATACATCCAGGTGTGGTGGTGCACACTTATGATCCCAGCACTCTAGAGGCTTCGGCAGGTGGATTGCTGAGGCCAGCCTGGGCTACATGACAGATTCAAGACTAGCCTGGACTACATGGTGAGATCCTGTCTCAAAAAACCAAAAAATAAGATAAAATAAAATCCTGTATTGACCACATAAAACACATCTGTAGCCCAGATTAATCCCTCACTATTACTTTATCATTTCTGCCTAAGCCATCTAACCTATGCACTCATTCAGTTAAGAGAAAATGCAAGGAAAGAGCAAACTAAAGCTTGCTTAACACAACTTCCTTTAAATTTAAAAACATCATTGCTCTTAGCCACCACATGATTTATTTAGAGTATGAGTGCATAACCTATTTTTCACATAAAGCCTAGGTCCTGGAGGCAAGAAAGCAGATTGGTTACCAATTCACACCAAGACCCTGAACTTCTCAGAGCTTGTTGCATTTCCTGTAAAGTTAAAATGGTGTCTAGGAACCAAAAATAGAATCACCAAATGATCTAGCAATTCTACCCCTGCATATATGCTCAAGAGAAATGACAGCAGGGTCTCAAATATTTGTACACTCATGTTCACAGTGCCTTAGACCAATGATGACAACGTGTGATGAGCCAAAGGTTGTATTTTAGGGGGAAAAAAGAAAACATCAAAAGTCACCTTTTCCGTTGGTATCGCCCTGCTTTGTCATTTCTGCTATACCTTAGAGCATTCATATAGCTAGACTTTGATAATCTAATATTTCTCTTCACCATTAGCCTCTGAGTTCATCAAGGAGTGCATTTCATTCATTTCAGATTCTCACAGATCAGGTTCCCCAGTACATAAACATGTTGTTAAGTAAATGAATAAATTATGTGTCTGTACCGCAGCCTAACTCCCCTTCCTCCACACTCCAGGGCTTCTGGTCACCAGTAGCTTTCATTTAGAAAATCAAAGAAACCTGGTGAGAAATAGTCAAGAAGAGTCAGCTCCAGCGGCATAAGCACCTGCCTTGCAAGCAAGCAGTCGTGAGTTCGAACCCTGGTACCGATAAAAACGAAAAAGACAAAAAAAAAAAAAAAGAAGAGTCAGCTCTGCTCCAAAAGTTTAGGAATTCCTGAGTTTGGGCAGTATTATTAGTGGTGCTCCCTGGTGTCCAAAAGTAGGAAATACAGCTAACACTGAGAAACTGGCTGGGTAGGAATCGGCTTCTACAACAGAGGATCATCCCTACATTCAGGATCAATTCTAGAATCTTACTGCCAGTATTCATTTCTTTGTTTAACAGCTATTTATTTGTTATATAGATACATATAACAACCTGGTTCCTATCCTCCAAGAGCTTAGTTTTTAGGAAAAATACTTATGTGTATACAGAGACCATTAATCTTGAGAAGGATTGGTACAGGGGTAGGTGAGGAAGCATAGAGAAGGGACAACTCCCTAAAGTAGCTAAGGAGACTTTGCAGATGCACATAGATAAGGGAGGCAGCAAATAGAAAGCCCTGGTACTTGAATTCCTTGCTCAGTAAATAGCAATCATGCTGTTCTAGAATCATGCTGGGCATGGTGGTATACACCTGTAATGCCAGCTCTCAGGAGGCTGAGGCAGGAGTACTGCCACAAGTTGGAAGCCATCCTGGGCTACATAGTGGGTACAATGCCAGCCTGAACTACTTACTAAGACCTTGTCTCCAGAAAAAAAAAAAAAAAAAAAAAAAAAAAGATGTGGGGGAATTGCTGGAAATATCCAAGATCTGCTGTGTGGCTCTGGGCAAGTGACTCAACTTTTCTGGCCTCAGTTTCACCATTTGAAACAAAAAGCAGGTGGAAAGAACTCTATAAACTTTTTTTTTTTAAATTCTATAGGGTTCTGGGGCTATAGTTCAGCAATACTGCACCTGCCTGCCAAGCATGAGTTTGATCACTGGTACCAAAAAACCCCAATTCTATAAAGTTTAGGTGAACTAATATGTGTAAAACAATTAAACAGTGCCTTGCATAATATGCTAAATAAACACTGGCTCTTAGTGTCTGGCAAGGAATTTCAGAGTCATTAAGGAATTACATCAAGATCAAGTATGTATAATTTACAGAGATCATTCTGGTAATAATATAGATTATAGAGGTAGAAGCTGGAAACAAATGTGGTGGTTTGAAAACTCAGCTTGCTGGGGATTTAGCTTAGTGGCTTAAGCACCTGCCTGGCAAGCACAAGGTCATGAGTTTGATCCCCAGCACCAAAAAGAAAGAAAAGAAAACCCAGCTCACCTTCTTCTTAGATATATAATTTTAGGCAGGACCTAACAAGTAATTATGAAGTTTTACTGGGCAAGTGGTAGGAATAGAAAAGGATCCAGGTTGGAGAAATATTTGATGAGTAGATGATTAGATGAGAAAATAAAACCAATTAAAATTTATAATACCCAGGCATGGTGGTGCATATCTGTAATCCCAGCTCTTGGGAGGTTGAGGCAGGAGAATCACCTCAAGTCTGAGGCAAACTTGGGCTACGCAATAAATCCAGGTTAGCCTGAACGACATATCAAAACCCTGTCAAAAAAAAAAAAAAAAAACTGGGTGTAATGGTGCATGCCCATAATCCTGGCACTCAGGAAATTGAGGCAGGAGGATTGCTGGGAGTTTGAGACATTGCTGGGCAATGTAGTAAGTTCAAGGCCAGCCTGGACTACGAAGTGAAGTCCTGTCTCAAAACACACACACACACACAGATTTAATAATAACCAGGCATGGTGGCACATGACTATATTCTCAGCACTTGGGAGACTGAGGCAGAAGGCTCTCAGTGAGTTTAAGACTAGCCTGAGCTACATAATGAATTCAAGTGCAGTCCCTAAATTGCATAGTAAGACCCTGTCTCAAAAGAGAAAACAAACAAACAAAAAAAAAAGATTTAATAATAATTGTAACTTTATAGGATTTTTTTTACCTGGGATCAAATTCACAGCTTCACATTTATCAGGCAAGTGCTTGAGCCACTGAGCTAAATCCCCCCAGTTCCTTAGAAAATACTATGTTAAACATGCTACATTCAATCATTCATTCAACAGATACTTACAGGTATTAAAGTACCAGACACTGTCCTGGGCACTGAACAAAATAAGAAAAACTTGTTCACATAAAGCTGTTGTATTACACTATATCTATATAATTAATATCTACAGAAATCTTGTGATATAGACCTATTTTAGAGAAAAATAGTAAGAATCAGCTAAGTTCAATTTTCCTATCTGCAGGTATAGTGGTATTATCTGCCTCACTGTGTTGTTCTGTTTTGTTTTGATTTTATCGGTACCAGGGATTGAATTTATGACCTTGAGCTTGCAAGGCAGGCGCTTATGCCGCTGAACTAAATCCCCAGCTCAAGTCATGTTTTTGTTTTTTTTTTCTCACTGTGTTGTTATATTAATTTAGCCAATAAATATAAAGCATTTGGGGCTGGGGTTATAGCTCAGGGGTACAGCACCTACCTGGCAAGCACAAGGTCCTGAGTTCAATTCCCGTATACAAAAACAAATTTAAAGCATATATGTTACATTAAAACATTCAATAATTTAGTCATACATGGTAGTACATACCTGTAATCTCAGCAGTCTAGGAGCCTAAGCCAGGAGAATGACAAGTTCAAAAGCAGCCTGAACAATTTAGGAATTTAGTAAAACTCTGTCTCAAAATTTAAAAGATAATAATAAAATAAAAGAAGCGGGGCTGGGGATTTAGCTCAGCGGCATAAGTGCCTGCCTTGCAAGCAGGCAGTCATGAGTTCAATCCCCGGTACCGATAAAAAAGGAAAAAAGACAAAATAAATAAATAAATAAAAGAAGCTAGGATTACAGCTCAATGAAAAGGCCCTGGGTTCAACCTTCAATAAGGAAGAAAAATATTAGTAACTTGACCAGGCTTACACAGCAAGTAGAAGGCAAATATGAAAATTAGGGAAGGAAGAGAAAAGATCAAATAGTGACTTATATAGAGGCATCTTCAGAAGTTGAGTTGTTCTTAGATCACTAGGACTGTGGAAGGAGGAATTTCCCAGAGGGGATTATGCTAGATGATCTGAGTACCTCACAGTTTGGAGAATCTCAAAGACTCAAAGGTGTTCTGGAGGCCATTAGGACAACTACTGTCCTGCCTGCCTAGGAAGAGGACTTGTCTTGGAGGACAGGGCAATTGCCATTGTTCCCACACCCCATCTACTTAGTTCTTCCAGGGAATAGAGAACAAAGGACTAGAGGACATTACTGTACAACTGTTTAATTTGTCACTTCCCTTGTTAGTTCTCTCTGCTGTTTTCTTTTGCCCATTACAGCCCAGAAAAATACAACAGGGATCTTGTCTTTGGCAGTACTGATAAAGAGAAGTAATGAAAAGAAGACAAAGAGGCAGAGAGAAGAGACACCAGGGATCAAGAGAAGATTCAACTTGCCAAGTGGGCATGGTGGTGCTTACCTGTAATCCCAGTCCTGAGAAAGGCTGAAGCAGGAGGATCATGAGTTTGAGGCCAGTCTGGACTAGTGTGTTCAAGATCTGTCTTAACTACATAGACCTATCTTAAATACTCCCCCCACAAAAAAAAAAATTCCTGAAAATATCACTGGGGGATGGAGTTGTGCAATTAGGCAGCTTGCACTAGCCACTCCATAAATATGGTTTTGTTTAATCCTTGCACTCCCACAAAGCACTCTATATTCTTCATTTCCATTATAAAATAAAACAGAATGAGATGTTGTCTCTATTACATGCTCCTGTAGTGCACTGTACTTTTATGTTAGTGCCTGTTTAAGTTCTATCTTGTTAGTTACATCTGACTGGGAATTTGTCTGTGTTTTCTCTGCTTCATCACTGATACATAACACTATGCCTGACAACAAGGAGATTTTCAAATAAATGTGCATTGAAGGAATGAATGTAAGGGGTCAGGTTCCTGTCAAAGGCCACACTGTAAGTGTTTCTACTAGGATCTGAATCCTATCCGTCTGTTTTCAGAATCTATGATCTATAGTCTGCCCTATCAAGTACTTTCTGAGGTTTTTGGGGGGTTTTTTGGTTTTGCTTTTGGTTTGGGGGTTTTTTTTGCGGGGGCGGGGGGTTTGCTTGTTTTGAGACAGGGTCTCAAGCTCAGGCTTGAACTCACTGTATAGTTCAGGCTGGCCTCGAACTCCTGCCGATCCTCCTGCCTCAGCCTGTCAGTGCTGGGATTATAGGTGTGTGCCACTATACCTGGCCCCAAATACTTTCACCTGTTTTATTTCTATATCTCCTATAACCATGGGTGTCCCAGTCTCAGCGACTTCAGAGCATGCATACACACTACCTACCAGAACTCACTATGCAGGAAATGCTACTAAGAAAATAGAAGCATGCCCTTTTCTTTCTCTTCAGTTCAGCAGTCTCCTTCCTAAACCTTTGCAAATTGTTCCACCTAACCATGTATCTCCCTCTCCTAGGCTTTATTGCCCTTTCACGTGTTGTTCCATCTCTATGACTATGATGATTCTGCATGTATTAGTAATGTATTAAAACAATTTGATTTTGGGGCTGGGGATTTAGCTCAGCGGCATAAGCGCCTGCCTTGCAAGCAGGCAGTCGTGAGTTCAATGCCCGGTACCGATAAAAAGGAAAAAGACAAAAAAAAAAAAAAAAAAAAAAAACCCAATTTGATTTCGTAGATGTTTACTGCAGGCAAATGTATGCTCAGGCCTGTCTGTGTCAGGCCCAGTGGGTGGACACACAGATGAATCAGATACCACCTCAAAGGAGGAGACAGACAGACATTAGGTATGGATACAATTTACTGGAGCACAGAGTATGATGATCTAAGTGGTATTAAAGAACTATGAGCAATATGCTACATGCATAAACCTTAATTACTTAATTATTATTCTGAGGAGTATAACATAGAAGGTCAGAGCTCAAAGGTATCATCTAGTTCAACCCCTTGTTTTTTAGTGGAGGAAACTGAGATCCAAAGAAGGGTAGGGCCTGGCCTAACATCTCACTTATCTGTCTGGCTGAGCCAACACAAGATTTCAGGATCTTCTGAAACACAGTCCTGGGCACTTCCTCCTCTGCTAGCTTCATAGGCAACAGCCTCTTGAGCATGAGATTCTAGGGTCAGGTTCTCCCTCCTGAAACAGAGCTAGGCAAGCCCAAGACAACAGTCTCAGGAAGTACAGTCTGACTGGCTGCCAAACCAGTCACTTGACCTGTGGTACCTAAGTGCTCTAACCACACCTACCCTGATTTTTCTTTTCTTTTCTTTTTTTACTGGAAATTTAAAAACTCAAAACAAAAAGAAAGCAACTCTGTAACCAGAACACCAGTATATAAATCAGATAAAAAGAAAACTTTCTCCAGTTGTAGGAAGTGAGTTCAAGGCCCAAAGTCCTCCTATTTTCCTGCTTTTGGATTCTGGAAAAGGAACTAGAAGAAACACAGCTCAAAACATTTTTGTGAGACCTTTTGAAGGTTTCACTAGGTTGCTCAGAGTGGCCTTAAACTCAAGGCAATCAATCTTCCTGCCTCAGCCTCCCCAGTGCCAGGATCAAAAGTGTGCATCACTACACCTGGCCAATAAGATATAATTTTTAGTGGCTTCATAGAAGCCATTTTAGTGTGTGGTCGGCCTCTGAACGCTGTCATTTAAGGGACTCACAATCCTTCCTTCACTCATTAACCATGAAGCACCAGTCTCAGGATTCCCAAGAGGGTACAGAGGAAGACAAAATTTTCCCCTTCTCCATCCTGCTCTTCCTTCCCTAGAGAGGAGTTTGTCACAAACGTTATGGAGACCAAAGAAGAGAAAGACCCACCTCTCCCTGGGAAAAAAACGCTAGCTTCCTGGAGACGGGTCTTGGAGAATTTTTTTCATACTTTTTTTTGTCTTTTTTCCTTTTTATCGGTACCAGGGATCAAACTCACGGACGCCTGCTTGCAAGGAAGGTGCTTATGCCTCTGAGCTAAACCCCCAGCCCCCGGTCTTGGAGAATTGAATCCATCCATTCAGAATCATTCATGAATCTTGAGGGAGTTTCTAACGTTGCTTTTGATATAGTAACCAGGCAGTGACAACAGGCCTTTTATACCCATTCTTTTTTTTTTTTTTTTTTGTCTTTTTCCTTTTTATCGGTACCAGGGATGGAACTCACGGCTGCCTACTTACAAGGCAGGCGCTTATGCCGCTGAGCTAAATCTCCAGCCCCTATACCCATTCTATTATTATTATTATTATTATTGTTTTTTGGTACTGGGGATCAAACTCACGACTGCGCAGCACTTGCAAGAACGACTGCGCAGCACTTGCAAGACAGGCGCTTATGCCGCTGAGCTAAATCTCCAATCCTCTGTTCTATTATCTTAACAAGTACAGGTGTAGAAATGATTTTACCCTACAGAGTTGAGGCTCACAAAGGTTAAACTACTTGTTTCTGGAATCGACCCTCCTCTTTATCTAGAAGGCAGGAACCTTCTCTTAAAAACTCAGTTCTTTTCTCCCTTGCACACAGCCCACAGCTGTGCACGTGGTAGGCGCTCAGCAAGTTGGCGTTGAACCAAGGATGATTGATTCTCAAATCGAAGCTCCCACATTCAAGGTCTGGGAGCAGAAGCACCAGAGGGCGCCCACGAGTCCACGCACCGGCCAGTCCCCAGGGCCCAAGCCAGCCCTCAGCCCTGGGTGCGGCCCTGCGCCTCCAAGCCGCGGCAAGCCATGGGGAGAACAGGGAGCAAAGGGAGCCCCACGTTCTGGGTGCGCTGCGCCCCAGCCCCCAGAGCTGAGGCGCGCGGAGCAGCAGGGTGCGGAACGACAACACGACATCCTGTTTTTGGGGCCCGCGACTCCGCCTGCGCCTCTGCTGATCGCGTCTTTCCCCGGGGTGCTGACGCCAACTCTCCCCACACATACCGCCCCCCCCCGCCCATCTCTCCACCCTCCCCAGGGGTCTGAGGCCTTTCCACTGCTGATTCACCACCTCCGCCACCCCCAGGGCTCAAGGCAGGGGTGGGGACTGCTCCAGCCTGACCGAGCACGGCTGTACCCCAGCCAACCCGGGCCACCACTCGCTGGACGTGGCTGAAGCCACCAGGCCTAGGGGCGCCTTCTCCGCATTCCCGCGGAGATCGGTGGGGATGAGATACTGGTTCCTGACGCCTAGCATAGGGCCTCTGCTGGGTGGGTTGGCCCGGAGGAGGCGAGAGACCAGTCCTGGGAGGCCTAACCTAACAGCCTCAGGGCGAGGGGTGGAGAAAGCAGGGAGCGCGGGAGCTGGCCAGGGCGTAACTTGCAGCTGGGACCCCGGCAGGCGGGAGGGTGGGCAACGCGCGACCGCGGACTTCCTGGTGGCGCCCCGCCCCGGCCCGCCCCCGCGCCCCGACCCGGCCCACCGGCCCGCCCCCCCAACTTCCTCCGGCCGCCCGCTCTCACTTCCTTCTAGAGCCCGGAGCCGCTGCAGCCGCCCCCAGCTCCCCCGCGGCGGGGAGGGCACCAGGTGAGGCCTGGCCGGGGCCGGGCCGGCGGGGAGGGGTCTTGGGGAGGGGACACTGGCCGGCCTCGGAGTGGTGCGGGTGCGGGCAGGAGAAGGTTGCTTGCAGGAGGCCGCGGGCGGAGGCTCTCGACTCGCTCTAAATTGGGCGGGCGCGGTCGGCCGGGCGGGGCGGGGACCGGGCCACTGCGAGCCGGTGGCGCTCGGGGAGGGTGGGTTCCGAGCGTCTGTGCTGGCTTCTGGAAGCCGCGAGGGATCCCTGAGATCCAAAGATTTCGAGCGAGCAACCTGAGAGGTTTCTGAAGTTGGAAGGCAACGGGGCTGGGAGACAGAAGTGGGGCGTCCTCAAAAGTTGGAGGGAGGTGTACAGATGTGGGGGGCTGGGTTGGAGAAGGCGCTCTTTTGCTCCGGCAGTGGTGACATTTGTGTGGCTGGGGGGACGGGGGCGGTGTTGGGGCCTCTGGAGCCCGAGACTGCAGAGAAGGAGTGTCTCCCGGGAAGATAGGTGCCAGTCCAGACCTACACTCTCGGGCCACAACGCAAGGGCCTCCTGCATTCAGGAAGAGCCTACGGGCAGCCCTTGTACCTACTGTTTTTCTCTCTATTCTCTTTTTTGAGTCCTGACCTCTCCAATCCCAGGAGCCAAGTAACATGTATTTAGTGAACAAACATCTACAGTGCTTAACTGATCGGAGCCTGGGCTTGAGCTTTTGGGGTAAACTGAAGAAGAAAAAGGACGTAGACTTGCCTTGTGACTGGAGGAGGAGAAACTCATTCAGAGATACAGACGGTCATTGACACGCTATAAGGTCTCAGGGATGCAGCAGGGCTTTTGGCATCTGGGAATGATTGCGCTCCATCTCCAAATCTTGCCCTTCATTCTTAGTCCATGGATTCTACGTATTCTCATACTTGCCCCACCCTCCTTTAGTGTCTCCAGACTCTCCTTCCCCTTCAGCCACTTTTCCCTCATACACGCAGGCATACCTAGGCCCTGACCTCATACTTAACCCTGTGCCTCTGTTCCTTTTGGTTCCCTGCAGTCTTCTCTTCCCATCTTCAGGCTGCCATACACATACGATATCTACCCTTTCCTTGCTTCTCCCCTCTTTCCTCCTGACCCCTCAACCAGGGGAACCGGTCCCTTTCTGCCGCTCTTTTCTAACTTTGGGGTCAGAAACTACTGTACAAGACTTGAGTTTGAAGCCTTTTCAAACCTCTCTAGGTTGGAGAAGCAGGCTGCAGCCTCTCAGTG